ACCAATCTGCTTTGTTTTTAGAAAGCATTGCTCTCATTAGATCTCAACTGGGGTTTCAAGTGGCCTGGGAAAGGCAGGAAATTTAATAAATATTTTTTGAAGCCTACGCTTCAGAAATGTTAAAAGAGCAGAGTTCCAGATATTAGATTCAGCTTCAGAAGAACAGAGCATGCACATCACAGTGTGGCATTCTGCTTTATATTGGTGAGTTTAAAATAAACAACTGTGCTGTGGAGTTTTTAGAATAACAGCATTAATGCCCACATGCCCAGAGATTTCCAAAAATATAATTATTTGCACAATGTTTCGTGTGGAGCTCTTTAAAGTGCATTTTTCATGTAAAAATTATTTCATTTACCGATGGGCACATATCACATTTAAAAACTCCCATAGAAACTGATGCAAAGATTCAGATGAGAATAATTTTGCTCAGTGGTCACTAAAGTTGCCAGGTATATTTCTGAGTAAACAGAAATGGGTCATGAATTAAATATCACCAAATTATAATCTCCAGTTTCAATTCAAAGTTGTCAAAACCTCTTCGTAGGTTTGTCTTCTTGTATGGAAATTGTTAATAAATAACATGAGCCTTTAGAGTTTAGTTGATTGCAGGCTCTAATGGGTTAAAAACTAATTATGTTTCGTTTCTGTCCCTGTTTATTGATTTTAAGCTCATATCATGATAATCGGTTAATAGAAGCATATAGGTGTCTAGACCCCTGCCAGATCTGTATTCCACTTTAAATTACATGACTGATCTTCTTTATAAAGTTGTGCCATTTGACATATGTTAGTATTTTTCCCAGTATCTTTTAACAAAGGCTGATTGCTTGGGAAATTCTAGAGGAATTTACTAGAACAGTTTTTTTATGAATGCCTTGGGGTTGAACTCTAACCAATGTCATGCAGAGAAGAACATAAGGAGCTGTTTGTTGGTTGCTATTTTGTTGTCGTCTGCTTTTTTCCCCCTTCTTTTCAGTTGCATTGTTTTATTGGGGGATTTATTCTGTGGCAATGACAGAATGGTAGATGAGCATAAGAAATGGCAATGTAAACATCATTAAGTATGAAAAGAAAAAAATATCAGCAGACACAAAATGAGCAAACTTACCTCTGACATCAAGCTGTGAGGGAGGAATTTTAAAACAGAAGTTTCGCTCTCTCCTCTGTTTATTCTTATAGTTTGTTGGCCTATTATATGGTCAACAAATTTGATGTCTATATACGTGCCCAGATTCCCTATTTTGTACAACCAGTCTGCATTACAATCAGACAGTTGTCTGTAAGAGAGCTTGTTTCTCTTGTATTGAACTGCTAACACAGTGCAGGTGTAGGATCATGATGCAGGTGACCTCAAAATGTGTCAAAGGTTTCTATGCAGGATGTTCATGTGTCCATTGCATTTTCACTCCTGAAAATGTTATTTGTGAAGACCAACCTGTAAAATTGAGCCAAGTTCAGCCAACTGATGCAAAAGGTTGTTTAGAAGGTCTGTAGAAATGTTTAGGAAAAAAAACAACAATGTAGCCTACAATAAAATTTAATAAAACAAATTAATGAAACTATGAGTTAAAAAAAACCTGCTAAAACCAGCCTAGGATGGTTGGCTGGTCTTAGTTGGTTTAAGCTGGAAGTAGCTGGTTTAAGCTGGTCTTCCAGCCTGGCCAAGCTGGTGTTCAGTTGGTTTTAGCTTGTCTCCCAGCTTGACCAGCTTAGACCAGCCTGGTCAGCAAAAAAAAAGGGTGTCAAAAGTAGTGTCCAAAACCCCTCTAAAACCATGACAATCAGCGTAGGCTGGTTTTAGCTGTTTTTTCCCCCTGCAGGGATTTAAATAATAAATGTTACTTTTTTTAGTAACTGAAAACCCCCCTTAGAGACAAGAGGATCCTAGTGTTGTTGAATTAATAGCTACATTCTGCCACTGTGTGGCTGTGTACCGCAATTACACACAAGACCTTTTTTAACTGTAGCCTACTCAAGGCCGTAACCAGGGTTTGAAAATTAGTGAGGTCCGGTGCAGTGGCGGTTCTAGCCCATTTCAACTGGGGGGGCCAAGCTGGGGCCAGTTGTACTGTTAGAGGGGCCAGTTACATTTAGACCTTATTGTTGTCATATCATTTTCTGCACTGCTGCAGGCATTAACAGGGAAAATACCGTGTTTATAATCATTCAACAATGTATTTGCATTTCCATTATATTTTTACATTTGCATTACATATTCAGTATTAGTCACAGTAACTGTAATAGACATGATGTCCTTCTTTCTCTTCATTTTGAGAACTATAGAGCAAAAGCAATGGGGACCAAGAAGCTTATTAATTCATTTACTGAAAATAACTGACTTGATATGTCTAACCGTTTACAGGGTTCCTGCACACTTTTTAGAGTCCAATTTAAGGCTTTTTAAGACCTAAAGAAATCAAAATTAATACCGTACATTAGAGGTGTGCAATATTGACAAAAATATATTTCAACATTTTCAACATTTTGTTAATAATTAGATAATATTTTACTGATTGTGTTTTTGTGCTGGTGCCATGGCTGGTTTAGGCCTGTTGTTGACAGCTGACTCACGAAGATATTCCTATTTTTCATATTCTATGCAGTGGTCGATTCACAGCAGTGACAGAAATACATTTTTTAATTAAGGGGCAATATTTGCCACCTTAAATTGATTTCCAGGGGCATTTTCACCTATATATGGACATTTTTTCTAAACTTATTTAGAGTTATGCATCACCTTTTATGTCAAATACTAACATTCAAATTATACAGTAATTATACTTATTTATACAATAATACTTAATTATACAATAATTATACAGTACCACTGTTACCAGTCAAATTAATTAATTCAATCAAAATCCATCTTTGCAGTGCAGAGGTGACACAGAAGTGGCATTAATATATACACTCCATTTACAATAGCATAAATAAAGCTATGAGATTTTTTTCAAATCAATATTTAAATATGAAATTATTTCTAAGTTTAACGTTTTAATTAAAGGATACTTTAAATATGAAACTAAAACCGCCAGTAGGCGGCAGCAAGTCCCTGTAAGAGGGATTCATTAATTCAAACGATTTGTTCAAACGGCCGATTTATTCGGGAAAGAAGCAAGTGATTCGTTCAAAACGCGGATTTCAGTCAAGAAATCATCGCTGTGTTGCATTGAGACTCACTACGGTTTCATTATGAAATTCTAGTCGGCGAAATAAAGGGAAAACAAACAATATTGACAATATTGTGTCTAAAAAGTAACTCCCAATGTTAACTTATTGTTAATTTAACTGTTGTATAACATAAATATCACAGTTGCAATTGTGCACGGGAAAACGGCACTCTTGCTGATGTGATATTCTAATATAAGAACATAATATGATATAAATATAAGACAAAAACTAATTTGGGGACATAGCCTACCTATGAACTGCACACAGCAGTGAAAGGACGATAGACAAATGCTATGTCAGCTCACAGTGCCTCGTACATACCGTGAAACTTCAAATAATAGCCGAGTCCCGAATAGACGCCTGTCTCTTTTACACGCCTGGTGTGGCGACAGGTTTGGGTACATAAAGGCCGGTCTCAAATAGAAGCCGGGTCTGTTTTTAGTTTCGGGTTGTATTTTATCTTCTAAAACCCGTCAGAGCGTCCGCTTGCTGCGCTTGACAGTGCATAACGAGCAGAGAGAGAGAGAGAGCGCCCCGGCCGCGCGCGCGCACTCACCTCTTCAAACATTCTGCCGCGATTCCCGCGAATGTGATGCGAATTGTCACGTGAAAATGCAAATCCACAAAGATAGAAAAATAAAAAAATAATACACATACAACGATAGCAAAAAACAGTTTTGTAAAAATTATTTCAAACTCCACATTTAGGGGCCACAAGGGGGGCCAAGCTTTTTGTCACAGGGGCACTGGCCCCCCTGGCCCCCCCTCTAGAACCGCCACTGGTCCGGTGAGTTGTGTAAAGAATTTTGCTATAATAATGGTTAGGCCATTGGACCCACATTTCCCATGGACATTAAGCTGTGACCCTTTTTTTTTATGTAATTTGGCGCATATATATATATATATAGAGAGAGAGAGAGAGAGAGAGAGAGAGAGAGAGAGAGAGAGAGAGAGAGAGAGAGAGAGAGAGAGAGAGAGAGAGAGAGAGAGAGAGAGAGAGAGGTTAAATTTGGATTTAATTATGTGTGGGGTAGTCTCTCACTAGGGGGGTCCAGGGGTATGGCCCCCCGGGATTTTTTTTTTTTTTTTTTTTTTTTGTGAAAAATAAACCAAAATGGCACATTCTGGAGAGTTTTGTGCAAATAAATATAGAAAAAAAGTAGGTCTAGCAAGTCTTATATTTCTGTAATTCACACAGATCAAACACAAATATGCTGACTGAATAGATTGCTAGTTGAGAAACACACTGCTTTAATTAATGTTTTTTATGATGACTTTGTGAAAGGTTAACTAAACAGCATGAGCCGTCTTCCAGCTGGCCAGTAAGTTATTTGACAAATTTCATTCTGTAGGCTAACATACAGATTATGCTATTGTTTTTGATAGTGTTATACATTTCTTACAGATAATCACGATTGTCATTGCGTTTGTCTTACCGAATGTGGTAGCTTTATGCAATTACAGTTTGTCTATAAGCTTTTTTTTATTTTTTTATTAATGCCGAAAGTATGTTGCCAGATATTGCTACGAAAAACAAGCAAAACAAATCAAAATAATAATAATAATCCGAAATAAGTTCAAAGCTTGTGTTTTGGAAATAAGATGAATATATCACTAAACCTAACATGCAACTTTCCACTTTAATAACTTCCTAAAGTGTCACATTAAATTAGAAAAACAGGTCCAGGAGACTACTGCCACCTTTCCATTAGGTGGATTTGGCAACACGGAGGCTGCACCCGCGTTCATGAACATTACTATGACCAGTAGATGGCAGTAATGATAAAACAAAATCAGTTCTCAACCTGCAAACCACCATCGAGGTCAGTGCTGGATCAACATGGCGGCGGCATGGAAGCTCCTCGGCACGGGGATGGGGGTTCTGCAGTCGTCCTTGCCGGTTTGTAGACAGGTGAATTTACTGTAAAACTTATAATGTGTAAATGCAAAGTCTGTAAGGACTTTTAATGCATTGCATTTGTGTTTCTATGGTGTTGTATTTCAATTGTGATCCCGTTGGACACTGTAATGTTAGACCAAGATATGCTGGTGACATTTGTAGTTTACGTCTGTCAGAAAGATTCATTTTTAGTCATTTGTATTTTTATAATTGGTTAGGGATTTTGTAAGACCTGAAAATGAATCTACAAATGTAAGACCCCATGTAAGAAAATGAATCTACAAAATATAAATATAGTTAAATATAACGCTTTACAATAAGGTTTCATTATCATTAGTTAACATGAACAACGAATTAACAATACTTCATTGTTATACAATACTTCATACATTTATTAATCTTAGCTAATGTTAATTCCAGCATTTACTAATACATTATTAAAATTGTTATATTTGTTAATATGAGTTAATGAACCGTAAACTACGATCAATGAACAGCTGGATTTTAATCAACTGACATTAACAGATTAATAAATAGAAATACTGTTACAAATGTATTGCTCATGGTTAGTTCATGTTAGTTAATACACTAACTAATGTTAACAAACGAGACCTTATTGTAAAGTGTTACCATAAAATCTCATCTGATGTCCTTCAGGCCTACAGAAGTTCACTTGGAGTGGTGGAGCAGGTCAGGAGCTACTATGTTGACTGGAGGATGGTACGGGATGTGAAAAGAAGACAAATGGCATTTGAATATGCAGATACGAGACTGCGCATCAATGCCATTAGGAAGAATACTATTTTGCCAAAAGAGCTACAGGTATATTCAAAGTCTTGCGGTTTCACTTCAGTTCTAGTTTATACTCAGTTTTTTATTTACGTGATTGGCTTACAGCCTTTAAAATCATGCAAAAATAAATACTTTTATGCTATTAAACTTATTTACAAAGTCATTAACCTTTATTTTGACTTGATGCAATGAATGAAATGTCAAAATATATTGCTCTAATAATAACAATGGCCATGTCTTCATGTTTATATATTTAGGAGATAGCTGATAAAGAAATAGCCGCACTTCCTCGAGACAGTTGTCCCGTGCGCATTCGCAACAGGTGTGTGATGACATCGCGTCCACGTGGAGTGAAGCGCAGGTGGCGTCTTAGCCGAATTGTTTTTCGGCATTTAGCGGACCACAACCAAATGTCTGGAATACAGAGATCAATGTGGTGATCAACCATGGGATTGTATAAGTGGTCATTCGTACAACCTTGTAATTCGGTGTATGAGCTTTACAATCTATGAATGAACTTGAGCTTGTTATGCCATTAGAAGAGAAGATATTCTTACGAAAGTGCAAAGACACAGAGCTGGAAAACAAACAAGCATTTTGGAATTTTATTTTCTGCTAAATTGATTCACATTGATGGACTGATGGCAAATCTAATATAAGTTATGGTATTGTAATAAAAAAGTGTAATGTACTACTTTTGTGTTTTGTGATTTATTTGCAGTTTTTATTTGCAGTTTTTTTTGTGTGCTCTATTCAGGTTTTATGTATCTAACCTTATTGTGGATTACTTAATCCCTTTGTTTGGTGTCACACTTAAAAAGAATTTAGTTTTACAAAAAGTGTAATATATTTAACCTATGAACAAGACAAAGTAAATCATTTTACGATGAAATTTTACTTTTCATGTTTCTATGAAAAAATGTATTCACTAATCTGTGCATTTACAGATGAACACCTTACATTAAGCAACAGTAAATTAGTACATTTTAGCTAAATAAGAATATTTTGTGCTTGATAAACGGTTTATTTTCATTCTTAAATCTGGGGCATAATGGGCATGTGTGTGTATTTATATATATATATATATATTATACACAATTGTATTACTATTGTCTTATTCTGTCTTTTACTGAGATTATGTAAAGCACATTGGTCAAAATGTGCTGTTTTAATAGTGCTGTATAAATAAATGACATTGACACGCACGCACACACACACACACATATATATATATATATATATACACAAACACAAAGTTTTTTTTTTTTTTTTTTTGCCTGATAGATAATGTAATTTGCAGTAATGTAATTCAAAAAGTAACTATAATCTGATTAGTCGTATTTGGTTTTGTGAGAATTATTTTGAATTATTAAGGACTTTTATTTTGAATTGACATAACGCGGAAGCAAGAATCTTTCTAGAAAGAAACAGCGCTTCCTGCATACTAGTGGACACGGTGACGGATTGAAAGCAAAGATCATTTTCATAACTTCGATAAAATTGTTGTGGATAGTTTCTCCAGGACGGCGATGGACATCAATGAATTGGTATAATGTTCTGTTTTTCAGTGTTTTAGTCATTTTAATGGCATGTAGTGAGAATATAGCGATCTGCTAGGTTTATTCTGTAACGTTATTGCACTGTAAGCGCCTATGCAATGGCATAAATAAGCTTATAAATGTGAATGAAACTCATGTTTTACTATGATATCTTATGGGATATGTTGGGTGAATTAAATATTAGTAGGTAGTGAGTTGACCGCTGCTGAACTCACCTATCCTGTAATGAGCATGTTAATATCCTGAGCTTGATATCAGATGTGACTTTGTCTCTAGATCGCCGGTCTTGAGAGTGATTTGAAAGAGATCACGAATCTGATAGAGAAATGTGAACGACAGCGCGTGCTGGACGTCTTGACGCAAGAGCAGAAGAAAATAGAGAAAGAGCTGGCACAAAAACAACGAGAGCAGAAACTGCAGCAAGCCAAGAAAGACTCTGGGGACAAAACTGAAACAACACTCAAAGGATACACAGTCAAAATCAACAATTATGGTGCGTTCATGATGATAATAGGTATAGGCTATTCCACCGTGATACACATTGTCTAATAGGCTACACATGTCGTTTGTCTCTATTTTAGGATGGGACCAATCTGACAAGTTCGTCAAAATCTACATCACACTAAAAGGAGTGCATAGTATTCCAGCTGAAAATGTTGAGGCTAACTTCACAGAGAGGTGTGGTCTCGCATTAAATATTGCTGAATTTTGGTTTGTGTTATCATTTTTATTATGGTAAAACCATGGACATATATTTCGGCAACACTTTACAATAAGGTCTCATTTGTTAAAATTTGTAAATGCATTACCTAAGATGAACTAACAACAATGAGCAATATATATATATATATATATATATATATATATAAAGCATTTATTAATTAGTTAGTAAATTTAATTGTTCATGGTTCGTTAGTTTACAGTGCATTATTTAATGCAACACAACTTTTAATTTTACAAATATATTAGTAAATAATGAAATTAAAATGGACCTTTATAAATAAAATCTGTAGAAGTGTTGTTAGTTCATGTTAACTAATGTAGTTAACTAATGTTAACAAACGAAATGGTATTGTTCAGTGTTGCCCAAATTTCTTATTTATTATTGTGTCCAGTATTTATTTATTTAAAATCCACAGTCGGGGAGAGAAATTCTTTAAAAACGTATGATATATAATTTTAGACGTGCATAAATTTGCTTTGACAAAGTTAATTTTTACAAGTTCAGCATAAAGTTACATGTTAGCTACTGTTTGCTTGTTTATCTCTCAGTTGCAGGCACTTGTAAATGATAGTCTCTCTAGATATATGGTCATGTGACAAAATGTATTTACCAGGTTAAGAGGGTGAAAATCTTTTTGCATCATGGTGTTCTTAATGGCCAATAAGTGTAACCACTGCTCTCGTGTTTTTACAGAGGTTTTAATGTTCTAGTCAAAGATCTGGATGGGAAGAACCATCAAATGACAGTCAACAACCTTTTATTTCCCATTATTGTTGCAGAGAGTAGTAAAAAGGTTTGTCACGTTCTTAATGTTGTTGTATATTCTGTTGCTAAATTGGATAAAATTGGATAGATAAAATAGCTTGACAATTTATTTGTTTACAGATAAAAACAGACACGGTCCTTATCATGTGCAAGAAGAAGTCGGCAAAAAAATGGGAATGCTTGACACAAGTAGAAAAACAGTCTAAGGAGAAAGAGTGAGTCAAATGCGCACACTTTCATTCTCTATTCGTTTTCCTATTTTAATTTTTTTATTTGAAAACAAGATTTTAAATTGAATGGTGCAGATTTATGCATAAAAAGAATGAATATTATAATGTAAATTAATATGATCCAAAATAAAATAAAAATAATACATTTGTAATCATGAGTTATGTTTATTATTATTTTAATATGAGAGGAAAAAATATTTGACTGCAGTATGCACTGTTATCAGAGTTAGTTAGCATTGTACCAAATTTGGTTCTGCAAATTATGTTTATCAGTCATAAAATGGTTACATGTCTGTTTCAGCAAACCCAGCTCGAATGAGAACGCTGATCCAAGCGAGGGGCTGATGAGCGTACTGAAGAAGATCTACACCGATGGAGATGATGACATGAAACGCACTATCAACAAGGCCTGGGTTGAGTCTCAGGAGAAGAAGGTCAAAGCAGATGATCTTGACTTCTAAGCCAGCTTATTGATCTACTTCCACATTCACAGCAAAGCACACCAATTCAGCTGCTGCACACATGCCATTCCACTTTATTATTTTTTGCATTTTTGTACTTTGTTCTTGTTAAATGCGGCTGTTAAAGAACAATGTTTTTGAAGTGTTTTCATCCCCTTTGTAATTCCTACCAACAAATGTTCAGTGGATTATCTTTCAATATTATTCCTGCAGTTAGGACCATATACCTAAAAAGTGGAAAATAAAAATAAAATAATAAAAAATATCACTTCTGATGTTGTTGATTTTTTTTTGGGGGGGGGGGGGGGGGGGGGTATTGTATATTGCTGAATATATAATGAATATTGCTATGATGCATGAATGGGTTGTGCAATCAGACAGGGGACACTGTTTAAAATAAACTAAACTGGGTATGATGGAAAGGAAAGTAGTATATTTGTTGATTATAATTTTAATACGATCTCAGACTGCTTTTCTAGAGCAGGGGTTCTAAAATTGGAAAACAGAAAGTAATCACGTTTATGACGTTCCAACAGATCCCTTATATGGACAAAGGCATTCAGCTATCGCAGTAGTTGAATAAAACTTCAATTTTATTTAAGTTTGGATATGAAGTAAAGCAATATGTGTTAATTATTATTTTTATACGGTCTCAGAACATAATGTTCGTTTTTAAGTGAAAAAAAAAAACGTAGTAGTTTACTTGTCAAATTCAAGGCACAAGGGGGCGCATGAAACCAAGAGTTTTTAGTTCAGTTCAGTATATTCCACAATTACGTAATTTGGCTTCATCTAAAGCCGCGTTTCCACCGCAGGAACTTTACCCAGGAACTAGGAACTTTGGCCTGGTACTCGGTGTGTTTACACCGCAGGAACCAGGGTCTAAATGAAGTTCCGGGTAGATATTTCCCCCTCCGAAAGTCCCTGCTCGCGAGGTAGTACTTTTTCAAAGTTCAGGAACTTTCGCGGGTGGGGCTTGTGCGCTGAACATGCTGATTGGTTGTGTTCACGCCGCATTATGATTGGATAACTCCGCGCAGCATTTTATTTTAACCGGAATTTTTAGAATCTATTGCAGTTCGTGGCTTCATGCAGTAATGAAGTTCCATGCAGTAAGAGTTGTCTGTCTGCAAATATGGAATTTAATAAAAATAAAAAAGGCAGCTGGACCGACGACGAGATTCAGGCTTTATTAAGCGTATTTGCGGAAGAGAAATTTTCTGCGCGTTCGTCCCAGCCTTCTCACGGTCAATGTCCGCAATAGCTGATAACATACGCTGTCTAATTTTAGATCTAACGTTAGCATTACGAGCTTTCTGAACACGCTTTAGTATCAGTGCTCGTCTCTTTTCTGCCGTTTTGTTAATTACCTGGTTAGTAAACCAATACATCTCAAACAACTGCAGCACAGTGTGAATCTCTTCCATATTTATTATAAATGTGGCGCTCAAAACTGATTACTGTCTTTTACAGTCTACTGTCCGTCACAAGCAAGCAATGAGCAGTCGCGCGCAGTTTACCCGGTACTTTAGACCGCGATGTAAACGCAGAAAGCTACCGGTCTGGGGCAAAAAAAGTTCCTGGGAAAAAAGTTCCTGGGACAAATTGTTCCGGGCAATTGCGGTGGAAACGCGGCTTATAGTGGAAAAAAAAATACCCCGTGTGTATGCAATTGAATTGTTCAACTCTGATTGTTAAATGATAAGATGTAAAACACTCACGGCGGCCATATATGTGTATTTTGTTTTCACGCAGTATGACACAATCCACTTGACTGACCAGTATTAAACAGTTAAATCGATAATGCAAAAAAAAAAAAAATCATATAAAAAAAACTTAAGTGCCATGTCGTTTTGTACAAAAACCCTAAACAGAGGAAAACAGAAACACTTTTAATACACCATCCAGTGCAAGTCATCCAGAGATCCATAATCACGTCAACCGTGATTGGATGATGTGTTCTCAGGTTTTCATTCACTTTTCTCCAGCACTTATTATGCGTCTCTCTGATCTTTGATTGAATCTCCACCAGCCAATGACGTTGATTCTTTGCAGACGTCGTTGTCTTTCGGCCCCGCCTGTGACCATGACGTCACGAACAGTTTATATACTGCTTGACTCCGGCGTCCGGGCATGTTTGATTCACAGGACTAGAGAACTTGGAGGTTAACATAAAGGAACTTTAAAACTTCACATAAAGGAGGTTATTTTCTAAGGCGCAGGATCTGTATTGATGAATGGATCCTGCTCGTTTTACCACAGCGCAGCGTCTTTCCTGTAAAATGATGAATCCGGATTTGTTCAAACCGTCTCAAGCGGCTCAACCGCCCGCCAAGCCGAACCGGAGTAAATCAGAGCACGTTAAGACGGAGGTCGCCCAGGTGGTGGTTGACGCAAAGTCTGGAAGATCGTACTGTAAAGGAAAGCTTTTGGGAAAGGTACCACTCTTTTATATTTACGCAATACATCGGAGCTAATCTTTTGAATAAATTATGCCATTTGTCATATGTTGCTCTAACGTGGACGCACGGTGCGCAATGTGTCGGTCTCGTGAGTGCTCGGCTGGTTTTGGGAGCTGTTCATGGGTGCACCAGAACCACTGGACCGCAACCCGCCCTGTCTGTGATTCTAGAACCTACCTGCCGGTTATAAGACCGTGTTGTCTTCCAATTTTGATCAATTACATATGTTTTTTTATGCAAAGACACTCTTTGCAATTTTGGAATTGACTGGATTTTTAATACGATTCCAGACTTGATCCGATGTCGGGGAAAGAGATGAATGACTGAATTAATCAATGCATCAATGGAAATGATGCTGCATTGCTTATGATCAGTGGAACCTATGACCACTGTCAGTTTCCCTCTCATGTTTCCAAAACAATGCTCTTATTCTAATTAGACGATTGATTTATTAGAAGTCTCATCATCAATCCCAGTTTATAAAGTGCCGCATCATGGTGCGATGCTGTAAGGATGGTCTAGTGGGAAAAGAATACGTCATTCCTTTGTACATGTGTTGGGACCAGGGTCAGAAATTAACTAGGGATTGGGGTAGAAATTACCCGATATATTTGAAACGTGGAGGTGAACAAATTGTTTAAAAAAAATATTTGCATGTTCTTTTTTTTTTTTAAAGGAACACAGGTGTTTTCTGCAGATTTAAAATGAATCCGATATGACGGCTGGTTTACTGATTGCCACTTTATTGGTCTACTGATAATTGGTACAATCTCCCGCAAAATAAAACTTTTCAACAGCTACAAAAATAGTTGACCTTGATGTTAGAGAGCTGTGTTTAACTTAATTTTAACCTAATTTTAAAAAATCTAACAGAACATGTGCTTTTTATAAAAAAAAATTATAGATAATGGCCACAATTCTGTTTCTATTAAAGCATTTGCTAAATGGATGACACGCTGTTTAAACATATAAATGGTGCAAAGGGTGAAGATGCCCCTTAAAATCAATTCCAGTTTGCAGATACTGTCGGTACTGGTCGGTACATATTGAACACCTTCATAACTGGCTGCCTAGACCGCATTCTTGACATCAGTCATGTGGAAAATATGAATCAAACATGCTGGTAATCTCTAAACAGATTGTCTTTGTCTGAAAAACTAGTTAGTTGCTTACAGTCATTGAGTTGAGACCGTTGAACAGGGACCTGCATTTAATCACCTGTTGACACATTTTGATTATTATGGCTTTTGTTTCTAGGGTGGTTTTGCACGATGTTATGAGATGACGGATCTTGCCAACAACAAGATGTATGCTGTGAAAGTTATTCCTCAAAGCAGAGTCTCGAAGCCACACCAGAGAGAGAAGGTAAATGGATAATAACCGAGTGCACATGTGAATCGTTATATTTCCAGCTTCCTCCTTTAATATTTATATTCATCGGTTTTGTCCCACAGATCATTAATGAAATCGAGCTCCACAAAAGCCTCCAACACAAGCATGTGGTGAAGTTTTCCCATCATTTTGAGGACCAAGACAACATTTACATCTTCCTTGAACTCTGCAGCAGAAAGGTGAGCTGCTTTACTAAGGACAGACCTCTAATGTTCACATTTGGTGAAAACAAGGCCCTGATTCTAATCCTGTGCTTCATATTTTCAGTCTCTGGCACACATTTGGAAAGCAAGACATACATTGACAGATCCAGAAGTCCGTTACTACCTCAGACATATCATATCTGCGCTCAAATACCTCCACAACAAAGGCATCCTCCATAGAGACCTCAAACTAGGTATTGTTTTTGACCTTTTTTTTTTTTTTTTTGCCTGCTGTTTTAATCCTAGTATGACATCCATTAAGTTCAGTTGGTTTGACAGTGCTATAACTTTTTTTTTTTCAGGTAATTTTTTTGTGAATGAGAACATGGATTTGAGATTAGGAGATTTCGGGCTGGCAGCAAAGCTGGAGACAGTCGAGCAGAGGAAGAAGTGAGTTTGCTTGCCTTTTATCCTCAATAACTTTCATAAAAATGCACATGATCAGTGTGCTGACATAAAATGCTCTTTTTGCAGGACCATCTGCGGGACTCCAAACTACCTGGCACCAGAGGTCCTTAACCGACAAGGCCATGGGACAGAGTCAGATGTTTGGTCGCTGGGTTGTGTAATGTAAGTCTTTTCAAGTCTACTTTAGACCATTTTATGGTTATTGTGTAGACCAGGGAATCCCAAACTGCAGGGGGTTTGCGAGTTCATTTTTAAAATAAAAAAAATAAAAAATAAAATGCTTACTAAATTATTATTTCTTTCATTTGTTTACTTGCATATCACATGACTGTTAATTGGTCATCAGAGAACCTTGAACATCCAAATGTGTTCTTAAATAGAATATTAACTTACAATCTCAGGGGGAATTTTTTTTAGGTCTGATCCAAAAGATTGGAAATTTCTGTTGTCTTATATATTAATACACTATTTACATTATGGAAAGTCCCTATCTGATTTATGTTGCTTCAGATGTGACAGCCTTGATGACAAGCTCTTTTCTTGTCTATTTAGGTACACACTCCTATGTGGGAATCCACCATTTGAAACCTTAGACTTGAAAGAGACCTACAAGTGTATTAAGGAAGTGAGATACAGCCTTCCTCCATCCCTCACTCCAGCTGCACAGAAGCTGATCTCCGCAGTCCTTCAGAAAAACCCCTGTGACCGCCTTACGCTGGATCAGATACTGGCCCACGAGTATTTCAC